TTCTCTCTCCAGTTCTGTCCAATATTTGTTCGAATAGAGAAATAAGAAGACATATTTTGTGAGATAGTACCATTTCGTGCTTTCTCGTCAGTCACATACAAGCAACATGTTATTTGTGTAAATAAAGTTTTGAAGATAAGGTCAAAATTTCTTATTTAGCATGACATTCACTCACTAGAACCATGGTAAACAAAGGTCAACATACAGTTGTTTTTGAACACATAAAGTTGGACTTTTACGACCAATCAAGATAGCTTCAAGTAGTTTTAGTGTGTGTGGGTTTTGATTACATGTCAAAACTCTAAAGGCTGATTTTGGATCAATTTGATGACCACTCATCATTAGATGTTTTGCAATGGACGAGGCTGGGTTTCTTGATCGATTTTGAAATGATGGGCTAGGTTGATTAATCATGGATTTGATTAACCATTTTGGAATATGTTGCCCTATCCTGTCTTCCAATCGGCGATCTGTCCTCCCTAAGTAACTTTCTCCGCAGTTACATGTGAATTGGTAAATACAGTGGGATTTGGACTGAATCGGTCTTGGAGACTTGATTGGGGTAACTGAGATCGATTGGGTTGTTGTGATAAGCCTCAGATTAGCTGCATTGAAGGTCTTTTTTATTGCAGCTGCAGTCTGTTTGGTTGTAATTTTCATGCAGTGATCACCTTTGAAAGGTAACTGTAGGTACACTGGTTTCTTGGGCACATCAGTTGCTATCAGCTTCGTCATAGTTGTGTTCTGATGACAAATAAACGTTTCGGGATATCCGTTTGATTTAAGTGTGTCAGTAATAAGCTTGAATTCGTCGTTCAATGTATCAGCAGTGCAGATTCTACTTGCTCGAGCGAATAAAGTTTTGACAACAGAACGTTTATATTGTATGGGGCAGAAACTAGTGAAGTGGAGGTACTGTCCCGACCAGGTGGGTTTGCGGTGTACCTTTCGCCTGATTGATCCGTCTGGACGGCGATGGAGCAGGATATCGAGGAAGGCTAATTCATTATTCTTTTCTTCCTCATAAGTGACTTTCAGATTCGGGTGAATCGCATTAAATAAATCATTGATTTCATTAATGTCTGTAGAATGTGGTAATATGACAAGAATATCGTCGACGTATCGTTTGTAAAGTGTAATACCATCGATGAAGTGACTCACTTGCCTTTCTATCATTCCCATGAATATGTTTGCTAAAACAGGTCCGAGAGGGCTTCCCATTGCCACTCCATCGATTTGTGTATATGCTTTACCTTGGAAATAGAATTTTATATTCTTTGTGCACAGCAAAATTAGATCTCGAAGATAGGTAGTAGGAATGGGTATTCTTATGTTGTGTGAAGTTATGAAGTCACAAATAAATTCCACAGTTTCTTCGAGAGGTACATTTGTGAATAAAGAGTTTACATCGAAAGAACACATTCGACTATTAGAAATATTTAAGTGCTCCAAAGTTGGGAGAAGTTCAAATGAATCGAGGATAGTATGTGTCGATAGTTGTTTACAAACAGGATCCAAAATTTCTTTCAGCCACTTTGCTAGCTTATGGTATGGTGAATTTATCATGGAAAGAATTGGTCTCATAGGTGTTGTAGGCTTGTGTAGTTTCGGTAAGCCATACATTTGTGGTGTGCATGTACCAATGGGCTTGAGCATTTTATAATGGGCCTCGGTGATAAAACCATGAAGCATGAGTAGATGTAGTTCTCGGCATATCTGTTTTTCGACCAACTTCACGTTATCGACCTGTGAATCTGATTTAAATTTAGCTGAGTCTGAGAGGATCACGTTCATTTTCGTTATGTAGTCATCCTTATTCATGACTACTACACCGGAACCTTTGTCTGGTTTGGAGATTGTTATTGTGGGATTGTTCTTAAGTTCCTTCAGTGCTTCCTCGTGCTCATTCGTTAGACAAGAATTTTGGTTGATAGGAGTGTTTGCAAATTGCTGAGATATATCAGCTAATTTGACTTTGAGCCATGCCTCATTCTCAGCTGATGTTGGAGTCAAATTTGAGAACTGGCTGTAGAGGTTTTCGAAATTGGCGTCCACCAAATTCTTATCGATTCTTTTAGGTGGTACATTGTAATTTAGTCCCATTGAAAGAGCTTCTAGGTGAACCTTGTCAAGATTGAAGTTAGATAGGTTGTGAACACGTTCTGTGAGATTTTCTGGAAATTCTGAAATCGTTCGGCTCTTTGATAGCGACTGGTTAAGTTTCGTCCATGTTCGGTTCGCCGTTCTGTCTAATATATCTTTGCAGAAGTTTAGTAGTTTAATATGACAAATGATGGATAATTGTTCAATAAGTGGTATGAAATGTGTGTAAGTTTCTTTGTATTGGTTTATTTTGTCAATGCAAGAATCAATCTGAATTCGTGTTAACTTCCTCAGACTCGAACTTGTTATTCGAACTTTATTTCGTCGAAGCATTTTGTTATAAATCCATGGGAATTGGTTGTCAATAATGCATTTATTTAGAAATTCCAACCTGACCTTCTCAACCATTAATTTACACTTCAAGTTGACTAGTTGGTGCAGCTTTTTGATGGTAGAATGTGGGAGTCTCCTTTTTAGAAATTCAAAACAGTGGTTCCCTTTGATAAATTTGAATATTTGTTCACTCCTCTCATGTCTTTCTCTATTTCTCGGCGTAATGTATTCTTTGGCCTTCCTCTTTTCCTTTTGCCTTGAGGGTTCCATGTGAGGGCTTGTCTCGTGACGCAGTTAGATGCTTTCCGCAATGTGTGTCCTATCCACTTCCACCGCTTCTTCCTGATTTCCTCCTCCACTGGAATCTGGTTTGTTCTCCCACAGTTCGTTGTTGCTGATCGTGTCTGGCCAACGAATACGAAGTATTTTGCGTAGACAGCTGTTAATAAACACTTGTATCTTCTGTATAATGGCTTTTGTAGTTCTCCAAGTTTCCACTCCATACAGTAGAACTGTCTTGACATTTGTATTGAAAATCCTGATTTTGGTTCTGGTTGACAGTTGTTTAGAGTTCCAGATATTTTTCAACTGTAGAAATGCAGCCATTGCTTTGCCAATCCGTGCCCTCACATCCACCTTGATTGTTGATGATGCTGCCAAGACATGTAAAGGTGTTAACGTCCTCCAAGGCATCTCCTTCAAGGGTGATTTGATTGGTGTATGTTGTGTTGCATCGGAGAATTTTGCTTTTTCCTTTATGTATGTTGAGACCTACTGCTGCTGCAGAAGCTGCTGTTACACCGGTTGTCTTCTCTTGCATTTGTTGTTGCGTTTGCGATAGGAAAGCCAGATCATCTTCGAAGTCCAGATCGTCCAGCTGCGTCCTAGCTGTTCACTGAATACCGTGCTTCCCTTCGGATGTCGACGTCTTCATAACCTAGTCGATTGATGACCAGGAGAAAGAGAAAGGATGAAAGTAAGCAACCTTGCCTGACACCGGTCTTCACCTTGTAAGAGTCTGTTAGCTGTCCATCGTGTACGATTTTGCAGTTGAATCCATCATAAGAGTTCCGTATGATGTTAAATATTTTCTCAGGCACACCGTAGTGTCGAAGAAGCCTTCACAATGTTTTCCTATCCACGCACACTATCGAATGCTTTCTCGTAGTCAATGAAGTTGATGTACAATGGTGAGTTCCATTCAATTGATTATTCCACAATGATCCGTAATGTTGCTTGTGATTTGGTCAGTACATACATAATCGATCCTTACAATTGATTACATTACTAATTGTTAAATTTATTTCTATTTAAAATTAAATTTAGAATTGACGACAATTCATTTCACATGATTATCAGTTTTTAAAAAAAAAATCATCATCATCATGGTATCATTGATCAATTGAAAACAGAACGGAATCAAATCCAATTTTCTGTGCTATTTTTTTCATTGTTCCGCCCCCCCCCCCCTCTGATTCATTGTCATCTTCAGTGAATTATGAAAAAGAAACGATCTGTTGCTACTGAATTAGTTCAACGTGCTTCATCAATACTACCAGCATTTACAGATATATTTGATGAAGAAACATTCTATATATTTTTTACTTGTCTTGTAATTTTCTCATTTATTATAGCATTTAGTATAGCTTGGTATTTTGATGTGAAAATTAAAGATGCTGATGATTTAAAATCATCATCATCATCATCATCATCAGCATCAAATCGAAAATCAAAGAGACGACAATATCCAACAAAGTAGTCAAAAATAAATACTTGTTTACTTTCTTTGTTTATTTACTCTATCAATGTTTTCTTTCTGTTCATTTTGTCATATTGACTATTACTAATACTTTGTCGAGTATAAATAATAACAGTTTAAGTCAACAACTGTGTATGTGATTTTCGAGCGCATAGATATAGAGTTGTTTTATATTGAAAGTAGTATATGACAGTTTATTATAGTCACTTTGAATTGTGCAATAAATATGTATAGTCAATATGAATTGGTTTTTAATTTATTCCTCTTATAGATAGATATATATATTATCTTAGTCAATCAGTTAGAATGTAGAAATTAGGTATGCATGTGCATTATTAATCCTAAATTGTGTTATACTGTGACAGTGTGTGTCATTGATAGGTGTACACTAAAGTAGTGTACATTAACCTTATACAAGCTCTCCACTCGAACACTACAGGCCGAGTTAGAGCTTATGGTGAAGTGTCATTGGAATTCCTTACTTCAAGTGGTGTCCGTCAGGGATGTCCACTCTCTTCATTCTAGGTATAGTATTAGCTCGTCGGGCGAAACCAACCCGTACCCGGTAGATAGTCGCTCATGCGCTGTCCGACTAAACGGGACGGTACGGACGGAAACTCACCGTTGCCTATTCGTCGTATCTGCTTACGCTCTCACTGACTGCAGTTCATACGATATGAAAGATGAGTTTTGCAGAAACCTCTCTAAACTACTTAAAAAAGTTAGGTGCTCTGACGTAGCAATAATAGCTGGTGACTTTAGTGCTCAAGTAGGTAGACTCAGTGAAAAGGAAAGACACCTGGATGTATCTTATTGTGTCGCGGCTTATAGAACAGATATTGGCGACCATCTGCTGCAGCTATGTCCAGATAACCCCCTATTTTTAGCAAACACTAACTTTATGTATAGGGAAAGACACCTTTTGACCTGGCGACCCCCAAAGACGACCCCGCGATGGACCCAACTAGATCACATCGCTATAAGCCATCGGTGGAGAGGTTCTGCTAAAGACTGCTTCTCATTGTGAAGGTGTTTTGTTCTCTGAGCTCAGAGAACAAAACACCTTCACAATCATCCACCTGAGCTACAAGTTTTCTCCACCATCTCACTGCTTCTCATTCTGGAGCACTTGTTTAGATTCAGAACATGCCCTAGTGTGAGCGCGTATTTGTTCGAGGCTTACTAGACGCAGGAAAAATATCGCAAGGTAACCTCTTAGGGCTCTACTTAATGATAACAAAGCTAAGAATATATTTCAGGAACAACTGGAGAAACACTTAGGCAGCCATGTAGTAAGTGGTGCCCATTTTGAGGCAGCTTGGAATGAGATTAAAAAGGCTGTAAAGACGGCAGTGATATCTGCCTGTAGAGTAAACAAAAAGGTTTAAACCGTGGATCTTAGTAGCATCTACCGAACTGATGGATGCTCGAAAACTCACCCCTCCTGGCTCTGAGTACGATGAGGAGCGGAGTCAGCCCAGGCGCACGCTGATAAAAAGCCTGCTCAACGATCGCGAACAGTGGTTGGTGGCGAATGCAAGGGAGATAGAAAGGGCAACAGCGACAGGCAA